GTGCAATTTCGTGAACTTTGTGTATTTGATGTGTGTATGTGACGAAAAAGTCATGATGAATGTTTTCCTAAGGCTTGGAGTCCTATTGGGAACTTTTTCCCTGAGTCTTCGCAAAATAACCCATAACCACTCGTCTATAAGACGATGGTTTTGTGCCATAAATGCAGGACATCAAAGAAAAATAGGAAGTGGTTAGAATTTCTAAAAGGGTGAGTCTCAATTCTAGTTTTCTAGGACGGTCAATAGGAACTCCTAGAGCTAGATCCTAGGCTCCTAAGGAGGAGAAGAGAAGACCTCACAAAAATGAGGTCAACAACCACTATCTTATAAAATATTCTTTTAAGTCTGAGCGGTACTTTTCCATCACACAATAGGCTCGATGCATTCCTCCACTTCAACTGACCAACTTGAATTCTACTAATAACATCCTCATCTATATTACCATCACTTTCAACAATAGTCCTGATATATCTGAACTGTTCACATCTTTTAATGATTTGATCACCCATAATTACAACTCTGCATTAGATCTACTACTAAAATTACAATCCATGTATTCAGTTTTAGATCTACTTAAACGAAGGCTTTTACAATTCTACTACTATCTTATAAAATTTTCCTTTAAGTTTGAGCGGTACTTTTCTATCATACATTAGTCTCGATGCATTCCTCCACTTCAATTGACCAACTTGAATTCTACTAATAACATCTTCATCATATCACCATCAATTTGGACAATAGATCTGAGATATCTAGAATGTTTACATCTTTTAATGAATTGATCACCCATAATTAACACTCTACCACCAGATCTAGTACTATTAAAATTACAATCTATGTATTTAGTTTTAGATCTACTCAAACGATGGCCTTTAGACTCCAATGTAGAGCTCCATATTCAAGTTTTTTCTGAACTCTTCTCTAGTCTTATCCACAAGAAGGATATCATCAGTGAAAAGCATACACCATGTTACATCTTTTTGTAAATGTCCAGTGAGAGCATCCATTACTAAAGCAAAAAGATATAGACTTGAAGCTGATCCTTGATGTAATCCAGCTGAAATAAAAAAAAATCAGTCAATCCTCTTCTGTTCACACACATGTCATTTCTTTAGTGACTTGAATATAAGTCATATCAACACCATATCAACACATATCAACACCTTTCTTTCCTAGAACTCTCCAAAGAACTTCTCTTGGAACCTTATCATAAGTTTTTTTCTAAATCAATAAAAATCGTTTGTAGATCCTACTGACTCTTTCTATGTTTCTTCATCAAATCTCTCAATAAATGTATGGCTTTCATAAATGTCCTACTTGCATGATAGTTGTACAAAAATTTTTCTTAAAGGCGATCATCACCGAAAAGAGGAAATTTGGTTGCATAAATTTCTGCTTTGACCTTGAATAAGTTAGTGGTTAATGAACTCATGTCAAACTCATTCGGAAGATTATTCAATTTTAGAGCAGCATCCTTTTTTTTGCAAAAGATACATATGGTTTGTCAACTTGCATATGCGTATCTTATTTCTTTTTCACTCGAAAAAATCAAACATAAATGTAAAATTTATATGGTTGTACAATAAATCCTTTAGATTTCACTCTATCGCGATCATGAAGGATTTCGTTTTGTTTACTGGAGACATTTCATGTGGTCTGATTGAAAATTGCACGCATAACAGTTATTTCAATGAGCTAATTTTTATATGTTTTCCTCGAATCCTTTCTTACCACTTCAACTACTTGAGAACATTAAACCTACTCAAGGAAGGTGTTTGCTGTTTCCAAAAAAAATAATGTTTTGCAAATTCTTGCTTTAATTCTCTTTTGAATTTAATTATATTCATCGTGATTGTTTGTTTTGCATGATAGATTTATGGTCATCCAACTGCATCTTCTATTGTCTGTTTAAGATGATTCTAGAAAACCTTAATTTGACATTTACTATTACACATTTTTCTATAAGCTGAACATCTTTTTCTATTGAACCATGTTTTTGTTTCAGAGGGCCACGATGGGCAAGTGTGAATTTGGGAATATTCATTTGCATGCAGTGCTCTGGAATTCATAGAAGTTTGGGCGTACACATATCAAAGGTCATACTGGATGTGCTTTTCTTTGTTTTTAGTCCATTTTCTTTTGTGCAGTTAGATCGTGTGTACTCAATACCATGTTTACATTCATAAACTAAAGCAAATATTGTTAAAAAGAGTGAAAATTACCACAAAAAAAAGGAAAATAAATCAGATTAAAATCGTGTTCAATTATTTTCTATTTAGTTAGAAAATTATCTTTGTTGATAAACAGTATAATAATTTTTAAATTTGCTATTTAAAATTTCAATTTTAGAAAAATTTATGAGATACAAATCCTTCAAAAATTCATATAATTTGATAAAGATTTTAAATAAGAAAAATAACAGAATCTAAAATTATAAGTCTTAGCATAAAATTTTAAACTAACCTTTCCAATTTCATTTTATCCATAAGTAAATTTCATGAATATTTTTTTCCATAATATTCATGATATTTGTAACATGCATGTAAAATTATGATTAACTTCATAAGAATTAACGAAATGGTTAAATTTTTGCACAAATTATTAAGGAAAACATATGTATTATTTGTACTTCTAAATTTTCTTATGCTCTTATTCTTTTCAAGCATCTACTTGAATTTATAACCATGAAATTTCACTTGAATTTATAAATTAGCTAAAAAATTCTTGCACTAATTCTGCAAACAATTTCACATGAAACTTATATTGGTTTGCATATTTCAGTTTGTACTTTGTTGAACTTTTTCTTAAGCATGCATGCCATGCCAATTCCATGGAAACTTGGTAAAATGTTTAATACAAACATTAAATTTCTATTATATATATAAATATGTGTGTGTGTGGGTGGGGGGGTGAATAGTAATTTAATTCACTTTTTAATCCTTTATAAAACCTGTAAAATCAATTTTATAAAAATGACATTAAAATAATGTAAATATATAATATTGAATATTTCAAAATACAACCAAATTAAACCTTAATTTTGATATTAAAGCTTTTACAGAAATATTAATCATTAAAATTTGTAGTAAAATCATACACTTTCTGTAAGAGATCCTTCAGAATTACTATTTATGTATTTTCATAACTTCAAAACCCAAAAGCTAAACAATTTATCATATAACCATCGAATAATCAAAATTTCCATTTTTTGGTCATATTGTTCATTTGCTTGAGTGTTTGATGGTTAAGAATATTGCAACCTACCTTAAAAAAATTTGTCCTTGATGTTTCAAACAAACTAGGGTGCAGTTGCCTCATATCTGCTCTTCTTATTTATGTCGAATCTCTTTTAATTTAACACTTCCATTTCATTTTAATCATGACCATTCTTTTATTTTTGAGTTAAGTTACACTAAAAGACAAACTCCTGTTAAGTTTTTCGTTATGTATTAAAAATTTGGTTGAAGTTGAATTTCAAGTTTTTCTCTAACCTCTTATTTTCACCGTTTCCTGTTGCACAATATCATGACAAGAGCTCTGGTCATTAGTCTTCTCTTATTCTTGACATTCTGATCCAACTTATAAGTCTGGCAGGTACCTTTTTTTATGAATAAGTCATTAGTCATACAACTAATATCCTGTCAATATATATCCTATAATATAAAAGGCTATCCTTCTTTTCACAAAAGTTCAACCAATGGCTCTATTCAATTGAATCACCCTTAACTTTATTACTCTTGCTTTCACGAATTGCTCTTTTACTATTCATTCATGTCGCAGTGTCAAGACTATCAATATCTCATCCTAAAGAGAGATTTTTGTTGGATTTTTAGAAAAAATAATTTTTAGTATATTCTATTTCAAAAAATTTTATCATCGGAGTTATGATTGATTTTATTAGTTTCCTAATGTGAGAGCTACCCCCTCTTTTCATATTGTAATCGTTTTCTATAAAATTGTAGAAGAATAATTATTTTTACCCTCCCAAAATCTCTATGGTATTAGGGATGGTTATAACCTTTGAAATTGCATTCAAATTTCTTCGGTTTGGTCATTCGTGAAACCTACTATTGTGAGCTACTTTGCTTTGCTCTGCTCCTACTTGGAACCAATAAGGAATGTTTATATCTGCTTGGGCGACCTTTCTTTGTCAAAATTTTCTTGTGCGAATTTTAGAGTTTTCCTCTCGCAATCTTCCTCTGTCGAAGTTTTCTCGATCGATCTTTGAAGTTTTCCTGGTGCTGTTTTTGGGAAGCTCCGAATCCGATCGTACCTCGCTCCTTTCCCTA